GAATAATAGTAAACTGTTTTTTCTTCTAAAATAGATTTCGAATATAAAGGTAGCTTCAATGCTATTTTGAAATACTGAAACTTTACAAGAAACTGACTGACTAAAATAAACTTCAGTTCAGTCAGAGACTCGCGAATTGGGAATTGCTGCTTCACTTTTACACGGAGTTCTATTTTATGAAATATTATATTAATTACCAATAGTGTTAGGTATTTATTTTGAGTAGCAGCACTTTGATGTTTAAGTCGTCGTTCGAGCACATAATGCAGCCAACTATGGAGCAAGCACAACCTATTCGCGATGAGAATTGAAACACATTTTGTTGATGCAAAACGCTTGAATAGAGTATCTACTATAGACTGGATCCAGCTCCAGCTAGGAGGAGTGACGTAGTGGACCAACACAGTCTAATGAATGATGAAGAGATTTGATGCAATTTCCTGTTTCCTTGATATGTTAGTAATTTTCAATTGAAATAGAAGTAAAATATCATTTATAATTTCTGCAATTAGCCGCTTAAGGGCCGACTTTTCAATGCTCAGTTAAATTTTATCAAAGGAATAACTTTGAATATTTGACAATTCTTCCATACTAAACACTGTCAAATGTCAATTTTATTCTACAGTAAGAATGCAGACTCAAGTTTCATACAAGAATCTCGGACTGAGAATAGCACAAAACTTGGGTTGAATTTGGTTTTGGTAACTTGGAAACAGTAGCTATCCTATTCACACATACATAATTACGTTAACACAAGTCCAAACTCAGTCGTTTAACTTAAGATCAGTGCCTTTAGCCAAACGCCACTTTAGCGCTTGTCTATAGAGAGAGTAGAAAGCTTAATGTATGGGGCTGACACTGACAAGTGTCAAAATTTATTTCAATTCCATATAATTTGGTTTTCTATTCTACATGTAGACAAGCGCTAAATGGCATTTGGCTACAGCTGCAGTATGTGCAGAAATTGGTACTTTTTAATTGTTGTCAGGGGAAACCTTCAAAAGCCTAGCTTTTGGTACCTGTAGTACCTACTGACATGTAGGTAGGTAACAAAAACTGAGGGATAAACGTGTCAGACGTCGTGTAATCGTCACCTACCCTTAAGGTAATTTCAAGCACGAAAGCATGCTTCACTTAAGCACTTGTCACTTATTAGCATGTGTATCGGAATGTTGCTCAAAATTAGTGAGCTCATTCCAGACGTTCGATTTTTGAACATGCTCAATAAGACGCCTTTTAGCATGCTATTTTAGGATATGTGTAAAAGCATTCTTCTATTCTGCTAACGGGGGTTGTAACAACAAATTTAAATCCTACCCATAATTATGTATGTGACAAAGGCTGGGCAGCAGCGCTCTCTGAGGAATCTGAACCTTTCAACATATTGTGACCGTCAAACCCCTTGATAGCAACCCGTGTAATCTCCTCGATTAAAAGAAATTCAACAGTTTGAAACATTGATGAGGTAATTTCAGTACTTAAAGAATATCAAGACCTATTTCTAAGAAACAAAAGTTACGAGCCAGTAAGTATCGTTGAATAAATAACTAGTTATTAGATTAATTTTAGTAGGCTTTTTGATGTTTTTCTTACTTTTTCAATGTTCGTTTTCATTATATTGTTTTCCCTGAAATTTTGTTAAAGTTTCAAATTTCTTTTTGGTATTTTTAGACGTTTAAAGATAATATTTTGGCGAACGGTTTTTATGTTGAATTAGAGGTAAAGATAAAAATGGTCTCTAAATTTTGCTCAAAGGAATATTAATGGGAGAGAAACAACAATGTTACATTGTTTCTAACTTTTAATAGTACCTACAGACCTTTTTAATAGAAAATGGCAGCTATTGAGAAACAATATATATTTTACTAACGACCCGCCCCAGCTTCGCACGGGTGAAATGTGCATGTATTATACCTATAAACCTTTCTTAAGAATCACTCTATCTATTAAAAAAAGCACATCATAATCCGTGTCACAGTTTTAAAAATGTAAGCATACTTAGGGACTGACAGACAACGGATAGCGACTTTGTTTTATACTATGTAGTGATACATATAGTAAAACTGTAGAAGTGTAAATTCTGTACATTGAAAAATGTTAAAAAAATAAATAGTACCTAATAGAATTTTGATACATTGTATGGAGCTCATGTCAAAATTGCATCTCTAGTAAGCATGCCCACACTTAGGTTATTAAAACTGGCCGTAAATAGTCCAACAACAAACTGCTACTATATATATAAATACTCCCAACATTCGATATAAATAAGTATCTTCAAATTATTAAAATTCTTATCAAAAGGCTATCGCAGCTAAAATAGCCACCATTGTTTTTTAATAAAAGGAAAATTACTGTCATTATTATAACTGAACAGATTTTTTGTACAAATTACTAAGCTTTTCCTCCCACATTTTAGCCCAATATAGATTCAGTCCCTTAAATACTTTAATTTATTCATCATTCATCTATACAGTTAAAAATAAATCTAACTCCAAAGTATCTTAGGTTTACATCAACATCAATAAATTTACAGCCTATAAGTGGAGACTGCTGGCCAAAGGCCTCTTCCCACACGGACAAGGTTTGAGTATCAATCACCACGTTAGCTCAATGCGGGTTGGTGATTTCAAACTTATAGTTAGGTCTAGCATACTAATGTTTATGGATAATCTACCTACATACGTAAAACGATAACCAAATAGATAAAGAGAAACCTTTCATGATTAAACTAAACCAGGATAATAACAAGATTCTACGTATATGTATAAATTTCAACTACCTATTACATTGTATATAATTATATCGTGTGTATATATAATTATAACATGGTATGCTATAAATCTCTATCAGCAAAATACATGAACATTAAAAACCAACTTTACTGTCAACAAATTAAAAACTAAAGTCAGTTTTTTAAATTCAGTCTGTGTCCGTTTCGTGTTAGAAGCTATTATATCATAAGTCCAACTCAACCTTTAACATTAAACAGTGACTAAATGTAGGCGGCCTATAAACTGTTCAAACAACTACAAAATTCAATCCCCTCTTCAAATACTTTTTCAACAAACGAAATTGGACTTTAAGTACATACCAACAACAAGAGTCACACGTGTTACGATTCAAAAAAACACGTATTTTCTTGTACCGAAGTACAAAAACTGTATCTCAGATTAGTTTTTATACACAAAATAAAGTAAAAACGTGTTCCCAATAGGGCGACTACGAGATACCAAGTAGCAAGTATATCACTCGTTCGCCTCCAGACGGGTAAATATCGAGCTGTCACAACTTATTTACAGCTATTTTAACTTCGCTACGTCGGGACTACAAATAGACTAATCAATCACTTCTTGAGAGCACGAAAAAGTCACCTGTAAGTGTGAAATAAGTCACTTAATAACATGATATAGAATCACGTATGTAATTCCTTGAAAGGGTAGGTAGAAGGTACCCTCTAACAGTAATGATCCCGCTCTTGCAATGACGCTAAATAGTACTAAGTTCTAATCCATCTCATGTATATGAGAAAATGAGTAAATGCTATGAAAATTACAGTTAACGCGAAAACTTTAGAGTGTGTTTTATATTCAACAAATTCAAAAACTACTGAACGGATAAAGATGAAGTTTCACACTGTATATAAACCATATTAGATAAAATCTATAAAAAATATGAAACCAATGGATATCAAAAACTGTTCTTCTTACATGTATTTGTATGTACATGTATTTCCATAATTAAACCATATCCCTTCCAACTTATCATTCTAGTAAATCACGAAGTATAGTACCAAGATAGACATCCAAATTCATACATAAAGTATGTACTTCAAGAAACTCATGTAAACGATAATACAGTATTACGAGAATTCGTGATAAGGACAAACAAACACGAATTCCAGACTTTTAACATAAATAAATATCAATATTGACTCGAAACAGTTGTGTCTATAGGCATTATTTTGTATAAGGTCCAATAACATTTAATCAGAATCGCTAAACCATATTCTAATAAAATATTCATGTGCGATACCTAGATGGGTATGAAAAAACGAACTAACAACATATGTGACATAGCATATCCGTTGCTTCTAAAAACTACGATATAAAAGCATTTGAAATACATTTGTTTTGTTACATAACCCACAACGCCAACCAACCGTGGAAATCAAAACTAAAAAGAGTATAAATTATTCCAAGCTTCGAAAATATGGCTTCATTTGTGGTAAAGTCCACTAGACTCTTAATGAACAAGTTTCCAATAAGTTACATTCTGTCCGCAGTTGTAAACCAGTCGCCAACAAATTGAATATCGATTATGGAAGACTTCTTAGTTATTTCCATAAAAAAATTATAAAGAGATACAGTTTGTATTTTTAAGGCTCAATTTGCTTTTAGCGACCCCGGTCCGGGCTGCCCTGAATAAATCTAACTGAGGGACCAGCCAGATAAAAGATACGCTGACGATTTAATTGAAGGTCTTATTTTTCAGCTGACTTCGAACCGACCACTTTACTTCAATAAACTTTCTTTTGAATACTCAAGATTCTTTATTAAACTCTTTACCCACAACAACTGAGAAAGGCCAAAGTTGTTTATCCCCTATTTAAAATGTCAATCCTAATCAAAGTCAAAAGTAAAAGTTTTAAGAGAAATTATAAATGATTTATTATCGTCTCGAATAAATACCGATCTCTTGAAAACCTATTTAAGGAACGTCTTTTTCCTACGATGGCGCTTGAAGATGAATGGCTTTTTATAATAACGGCTTCTTCGGTCTCCATGAATAATATCTTGATGCAATTTATTCCTAAATTGAAAATGGAGCTGCATTAAAACATCGTAGCTGTCACCGTCGCTTATTGTCGCCCAACGCGGGACTCGGGATACCGTCCGCATACATTACGAAATGAGATAATAAAATTTTTAAATGTTAAGTACCTAGCACTCTTGTCATCGAAACAATTAAAGCACACAGTTCATTCACATAATTGATATTACCTTTTACAAGTAAACTCAGTACTGCTAATAAGATATACATCCTCATTAAGTTTTTAAACAAACTGTTCCATCACATATCACAGAGATTTATCCCTCCATATATTGCCGTAAGCACTTTACTCACACACGGTTTTAATTAACATTTCAATCGGAGAGTTGATTCGAGTTATAACGAAGCTCACGTAATATTTGCGTAAGGAGCGCGGCGCGGACGACCGGCGTCATCGGCGGTTGACACACGACTGAAGAGTTCCCTCTCTCCGTTTGTTCGGTCGCGTTCGCAGTTACTCGCCCCTCGCCCATCTGGGGTCACTGCTTACAATTTTCGTGACCTTATGGGGCAAGTCGATAATCGCTTTTACTAATAAATATGACTACTAGATTTACTAAGTAGAGAACATGTTATTAAATGTTTAAGTGGAGGTGACAGGTGCCAATTTTCTGTTGTAAAGACTGTCTGCTATAGAGGTAGGTTTTCATATTTTAAATATTATCGGACATAGGGGTCGCGCTTCGAACATATTATTACACTTGACTGTAAATTATAGCAGAATAATTATAATGGGGGAATGTAATTCATATGATCATAATATTATCTAGTTAGATATTGAAAAAGTAAACCGACTTATTTTTGGAAAAATAAAAGTGAAATTTACGTAATTTTTTGCCATTGTAACTCTGATAAAATTAATTATATTCAGAGACAATTTCCTTGTATTGTATTTCTTTGTGGTCTCCTGTCTTGGTGCGTCCCTCCATATTTTTTTAGATATTTCAGATAGTAATCTATCATTTCTTGTCCTTTGCGTGTGTAAATTGAAATATTAATAAAGACGTATTCAATTATCGTTCGCCAGCCTGTAATTTGTGTTGATTACATTTTCATTTAATAAATTGTTTTTTTTTCTACCTTTTTATATTTAGTTTGTTAGGTTAGTTGACTTGTGTTTGAAGTTTATGTTATATTGTTGTTCATTTATATTTGCTTTTTATGTAGCAATTTGTTATGTGCAATAATGTGTTATTTGATTACTGATTGTGTTTACATGTCCAAAAACATTAACCAACATATTAATTGGAATTAGGACTTTACCACGACGATATATTTAACTGTATTCCCAGCATCATGACATCAATATGAGTATTTTTCAGCGGCATGAATGTGGAACTCAGTGTATGAAATTGAGCTAAACGGGCATAATTTAGGAGATTCTTTTCCTGCCATCTTTTACAACTAGAAACGTATGATTATGAGCGTATACTTTCAAAGTACATAAAACAGTTTAGTTTTCTCAACAAAACACAATCTTATCGAGCTTGCACTGGCTACCATAACATTAACATACAAACAGCATACTCATTCAAAACTTATTAAAATATCTCATTATTTCAAAGCTTACATGCGATACGAACAATGGCTTATGTTCATATTAGAGGATTTTATTAAAGTAAAATATCATTAGGCCCTCTCCTAAAACGTACGACATTTTTTCCTCATCAGATCGGTCGTAACACTTTATTGTTATTGTACAACCGTATTCGAGAATGGAGTAGCGTCATAAAATCATAAACACCTTCAGTTTTCGCGTTATCCCTTACAAATATCTTGGGGTTATGTTCCATAGCCGATTATGAATTTCGTGTTCAATACGTGATCTGTTTATTTGAGGATCTCTTGTTATTAAACTCAGATGTATTGAGACGTTCTCTGTTTTGTTGCTGACTGTATCATCTTTGATGTTATTGGATGATTTAGATGGTTTTGTGCCGTATGTTAGAATAGAATTTAATGGTGTAATGTCTTTTGTTTCTGATAGAGTGGATTTATGGTACACGTACTTTTCAATTAGTTAATAAGCCTAACACGACTCAATAGTCAATAATTGTTACCTGTTTTCAGTAACCTAACATCACGCATTTTTATTCCCATACATTACGGCACTTAATGCCACTGTACAATGTAACACTCACTTTTTACCATTTATGTTATGAGTCCCATGTGATAGGGAGTGAGCATATTGCCATATAACGAGCACAATTCCAGACTCCATGCTACTACTAAGATTTTTTTTAAAACCCAGTAATATTTTGCCCAGCTCGGGAACCGGACCCGGGAATCGAACCCGAGACCCCTTGCCCGGCAGTCGCAGTTGCGACCACTCGGCCAACGAGGCAGTTACCTGTTTTCTTTCGTACCTGAAACGTTGTGAAGTACAATAAGACTGTATGCTTTAACTGATCTAAGGATTGAACCCAGGGGATCAAGGTTGACGAACTCATCTACAGTAACACAACTCTGAACAACAACATTATTTTGAACAATATGCAACACGATCACAATCTAAACAGAACTCTATCAAGACGTTATTAAGATTGTCAATTCAAGGACAATATTTACCCACAAATTGCTCTCCGTATCAGATTCACGGTCACGACTCCTCTCCTCCTAATCACACATTAACTACAAACACTTAAACACCGTCTGTATAGCCAGCCTCATTAGTCGAGTGGGTATAAATATGACAGCTACTGAGCTTAATACTGATTAAGCTCCGAGATCCAAAGCAAAACTTGAACATCTATACATCTATAAAGAGAAATAAAATTGGAGTGTCTGTATGTAATATTAAAATAACCGCTTTTTAGTACATACATATGAATACATATACGATACATGTCCTTGTATGTATATACATGTACTATCGGATATATATTATTCTATTCTCAATTTTTCACACACACACACACATATTCAGCAAAATTTATATTATTTATACAATTTCATGTTTATTTTCTGTCCTCATTGAGGGGCGGCACCGCCGTCCATGAGTCACTGCAGGGTGCCACCTGAAAACCAGCGTTGGGCACAAACGTCCAACTATATGCTGAGGTGGAGGCCCTTTTGGCATTAGCACGCGCAAATTAATATTATTATTTTGTTTATTAGATTTTTTTTTATTGTCTATTCAAAATTCTGTTATTATCGTATTATTATTTTGTTATATTGTGATGTTTTCTGTTCTGATCTCTATTCTTGTAAGTTTATTATTAGTATTTTGTTTATATATATATATGTATTTTTATTTTTTTGGATTCTTTGTTTTCTGTGCGTGTAATTGCCAAATAAATGTTTTTTCTTTCTTTCTTTCTTATACACTTACCAAAATAACATACTTTTTACAATTTTCGTCTGTCTGTCTGTTTGTACTGGCTAATATCTCGAAACGCTGCACCGATTTTGCAAGACTTATTGGCAAGTTGCAGATGTACTAAGGAGTAACATAGGCTACTTTTGTTTTGGAAAATTCAAACAAAAATGCTAAATTTTAAAATCCATATTCTATAGACGAAATCATTGGCAACAGCTAGTATAAAATATAATTTACTTTCAAAATTTTATACCGTCTGTGTCTTGCGACGGGCTTTAATATGACTCAATGTTGTATAAAATATGTTTTACCTATAATTCTTACACCTTTTGTGTACTCCATTACAAACTAAATACGATTTTACATTGTATCTAAGTATAGCGAGAGTTGATTACCACTTTATTTGTTGATACACTAGAAAATTTCCTCTGTGAAATTGTTGCAGTGCAGCTCCTCGTAATGGGGCTAGGGGCACGTCGCTTCTTTGGGTATAACTGGGTGACAACCGGGCGCAGGCGGCGTACTCTCAACGCTTTATCACTTAATTTGAATCGTGTCTTGAATTTAGAACACAGGCTGTCCTTAGAATTCGAAAATTGTTAATCTGTTCTGTCTGGATATTCCAATTCCAATCTGTACGGTGCAACCGTACACATTTAAAGTCAGCATTTTTCCGCATCGTAATTCATTTACCTAATTATTCGATTCAGTTCGTATCGAGCAATCAAGTCCGCCGTGCGTTCTCATAATTCACATTAGCACTCACGCTCATACAGTTCACTCAATCCATTTTACGTTAGTTTATTATTCTACAATACAAATTATTATTCTCAACTATTGACTTTCATTTAAATCAAGAAAAGTGTGTTTAGTCTACCAAGAGACTATACATATTTTTTGGTCCTTCGATAAAGAACTTTAGACGTTGTAGACAATCGTGTTGTGTGACGCGGACTATAACTGTGAAGACTATCCAGTGACTAAAAAGTGTGAGTGTTGTGTCCCCGTACGTTGAAACTACCAAGAGTCTCAACAGCAGCAGATCACCAAGGATCCGTAAGCAGTACATACCAAGGATATTCAAGTAAGATCGTTTCATTTTTCTTACTTTGTATAAGTTTTCATCATGGAGAGCTTACACGCAAACCAAGCTGAGCTGTTTGGGGCTATGAGCAAGCTAGCCACCAACTTCAAAAAGGATTCCGCAGATCGCAAGACTGCGGATTACTTCAAAAGGCGATTGGATACATTGGAGCAATATTGGTCTGACTATCAATACAATCATGACCGTCTCCTGGTGGAGGAAAGCAAGTCCCATCCATATTTTACCAATCGTGACTTCGCACAAGCCGAAGAATTATACAAATCAACCAAATCACTCATCATTCAACACCGTCAAAGCTTGCTGAAAATGATGAAGTCTGAATCGGCTGGAACTTCTGGGCTACAACAAAGATTATCTCAGCAAGGAGATAAAGATCAAGAAACATCAGGTCTTATTAGTTCCGAGCAAGAAGAGCTAGTGGGAAATAATACACAAGTTCAACTTCAGTCCAGGGGTTCATCCAGTAAACTCGATGAAATGCTCAGAAAGCAAGCAAGTAATTTCAGGGCATTTCAGCGCACAGTGTCAGGTATTAATTTAGAAAATGTATCTGAAAAGTGGGTGTTGGAAGATGCTTTGCGATCTCTCCAGGCTCGCTGGTCTACAATAGATTCCTTGCATTGGGAATTAGACAGCGAACTCGAGGGTACTAATGAATCGTACGAAATATCATACACTAAGCAAGAAACCATCTACAACGATTTAAAAAAGACCATAAACTGCAAGATCTGGGGTATAAATCACAAAGACAAGTGGACTCCTAAAATGGATATACCCATATTTAATGGCAACTATCAAACCTGGGTGTCATTTAAAGACTTATTTACAGAAGTCATACATAGCAACGTCTCTATATCAAACGCTCAGAAAATGCAATTTCTAAAGAGCAAAGTGCGAGGGGAAGCTGAACGTTTGATACAACACTTACAAATAAGTTCAGAAAACTATTTAACGTGTTGGGAGATATTAA